GGGTGTGACAAGATGCATGAAATAACAAAGTGTCATTATTTAAAAGACATACAATCAAACGACTAGAAACTAATTGCTTGAAAATATGATGTCCCAGGGGACCAAGACATTGGTGTCGTGTGGTAGGACCAACGATGAGAAGAGCTTGATAAGTTTGTTTTGAGACATGTTAAAGTTCATCGGTGTTATCACATCGCATGAGTATTTGACGGGTAAGAAAATCCTTCATAGAAAAACCAAAATATTTAATTTAGCTGTGCACTTATTTTCACGAACAAAACGACGGACATAGGTGAGATTTTTAATAATAGAGGGAGTAATCAAGACATTTTTTAGAGTTAAATTACAATTAGGATTAAAATGTGGAAGAGTAGAATGTCCTATCTTAGTTATAGGTATAGAAGATCCATCTCCAACTAAAACGGATGGAAACGATTTATTACTATTAACAAAAACACTCTCGAGGATACTTGCGTCGGAATGAAGGTGAGATGAAGCTCTGATGTCCATAAATTGTTCATTTTTTCCTGGATCGTAAACATCATCGAGTTAAACATTTGAGGAAGAGTAGTAGGCTATTTATGTTGTTATGATGTGTGGAATGCATGTAGTTAAGGTGGGAAGGTGTTTTATGGGCTTCATAGAAGAGAAGAATTGATGTTGTTGGGCCGATTGTGAAGGGGATGTTCGTTGTCAAGGCCCAGAAACAGCACACATGGGTTGAATAGTTGATTGAGTGGACTTGGAAGAAGTGTTGTTTGGATCGTTTATTGGACCTAGACCAAGCCATATGCCCATGGTGCATTGCCTTCTTCCCGACGTCGCTGCTGCCGCCCACCATGAAAGTTTACGTCATCGATGTTATGGTTTTGTGGACCCCATTTCATCCGCCATCCTCCACCTCTTCCATGAAGACCACTACTGGCACACCCTAAAACCGGAACGGTGGAAACGTTCTGGGGCAGAGGACGTCATGTACAATATCACAAAAAAGCATAACAGTAACAAGCAACAACATCATCCATTGCATTAATAATATAATTTATTAAAAGTGTGTTATGTATAGTATAAAAGACACCTAAAACATGAATCAAAATAAGAGATGATTCTCGAATGTGCTCCATCTTCTCGAAAGCTGGCCTCGGTACTTGTCTACTGATGACCTAAGAATACAAGTTATTTTAAAAGAGCTTATCAACTTTAAAGCTGGTGAGTTCATAAGCATTTTAGTGTCATTGCTTGTATAAGAATGTTTGTAACAGTGTAATGTAAGTGTTTGTAATTGTTTGTGAATGTTTGTACTTCCTAGAAAATCCTATATTTTCTACTGAAATGTACTCTTCTACCAAGACCCGACTATTTGTATGTTTGTTCTTATGAGTTTTCCCAAGTATAACTATTATTATCAAAATATGGTTTTCATTATCGTTATGTAAGAATATCACAAAGTAAATGCAATAGGGAAAACAATGTTTATCTCAGCAGTGAAACTACTGACTAATAGTTGATAAAATAAAGACTCCAGGTTGTATTAAATGTGCTATACCCCTCGGGGCATCTTATTGCCTTTAATTCTTAGTCGGTTAGTTAAAGGTTTAAATGTGAACTGGTTGTAACCATGCTGATTGACAGCTGAATACCTGACGAACTTTTGGTGTCATAAAATAGTGAGATGACATTTTGTCACCCCTTAGCCTTACGGGCTAGGACTGTAGCTAGTAGTCGGGGTATGGGAGTATCTGTCCCGTATAGATCTATACACATGATGCCCGCTCGCCCACCAGAAGACTCTGGTTACAATATGATACAATAATGTCTTGTTGTATCCGGAATAGTGTGTCACATTCTAGTTATTGTATTCTAATGCTTGTATAGTATATTTTCATGTATAGTATCGTGTAAGTTCCCTTAGTTTCTCTTCATAGTATGTTCTATTTTATAGTGTGTAGTATATATTGTTTCTCGTTATAGTATTCTCTATCTGTTTATCTTTATAGTGAGTATTGACTCATGTATGAATGGACTCTTTTTATATTTCATTATACTAGAAATAGTGAGTAATGACTTCCTAAACTATACCTATTATAGTTTACTAGTAGCGTTGTTTGTATGACTGAGTGTGTTGAACTGAAATAAAAGCTTTTATATATATATATATATATATATATATATATATATATATATATATATATATATAACTGAGGATCAAACGACCCTCGGACAAACAATAGGGTACTCTAAGTCCACAACCCAATAAGGAACATGATATAAGGTGAGTTGTCAGTCATATGTCCTTCAAACCTTACTTATATAACTATAAATGCATTAGACATGGTTTTGACAATATATAAGTTTAAAAGAGTTAAAAGAAAAGGTTTGGCATATAAAAACAAGTTTGGTAAAGAGTTTAGTATTGTTAAAGAGTTTGATAAACATTTTGAAGTAGTTTGTTTGATAACACAGTTAAAAGTATAGTAAATCCATCTGTTTGATAGTTATTAATAACATGTGATTGATACAATAACTATAATGTTTCAACTTGTACTCCCCCCCCCCCCCCATAAAAGCATTTAAAATTATTTAAAAAGTTGATTAAGGGGGTATGAACTCACCTGTAGTGAGTAACTCGAATGAAAGATCGATATAGGATTGTTGGGTGTCAATTGGAGTCTTGAGCACAAACGAATCCTATTTAACATATAATTACACATATATGAATACATTTAATGTATATAACCACTAATGGTGATAGGGACACGCCTTAGGGACATAAAAACACTTAGAATTAAGTGTTACCAACACATATGGTTGCACATAAGGGGTGTATGGCCCTATATTGGAGTGTAAGGCCACAAAATCATGGGTTTTGTGTGTGTGTGCGGCCAGAGTGTGCGGCCAAGTGTGTGTGTGGCCGGACACTCACTAGGAAGTGTGACAAAAATGTGTTTCCAATCCTTAGGAAAGTTCTAGCGAAGGTGTTTTGACCATTGCTTAGCTTAAATGGGAGTTTAAAACCATTTTTGAGCCTAAAAAGAGTATGTGCGGCCGTACACACTTGAAGATCATATGAAATGGCGTTTTTCTAAATTCAAAGATTCTTAGCTTATATCAATCTATTGCAAGTATATACCCGGTTTAGAGGCTTAAAAGTGTGGTTAAAGTCCAAAAAGTAGTGTGTGTTCTTGGTGTTTTTGAAGATCTAACACCAAATAGGTGTTTTCATGGACCAAATCAAGGGGAAAGGCTAGTTAAAGCCTTGTATTAACGATTCAAGGAAGCAACACTTACTTGATTTGAAGATTTGAAGAGAAAAGATGGTTAATACTTGAGAGAAAATGAGTTCTAGACTTGAAGAAGTGGAAAAAGTGTTCAAAAATGACAAAGGACCATATATATATATATATATATATATACACACACACACACACACACACACACATGGGAGTGTGCAGTTTCCTTGAGTGTGTGGCTGGGATGGGTGTGTCGCCGCACACTCGGGTGTGCGGGCGCACACACCTTGTGTAGGTGTGTTTGGCTCATTTGCAAGGTGTTACACTCATCCCAAGACCCATACCTATATTATACTAGGCTTAGAACACTCAAATAGACCATAAACCGCACTAAAAGATAGCAAAATGAGTCTAACTTTGATAAATTTGAATGTTTGTACAAGCTAGAAATTTCGGGTTATCACAACTACATCCTGCTCAAAAATTACTCGTGGCTGTTTTTGTCGTTAGTTTTGATGGTGTCAATAGTGCGGGCGTGCTAAGAATTTGCATTATCTGAATGAGAGAATCACGTTTATCACCTAGAAGAATTTGTTGTTCTTCATAAACAAGTATGGACCTAGCATCCCAAAAACACGGTAAAGGGTCTCAGTGACGAATGTTAATAGAAACATAGTGGAATTTCAAAGAGAGTCCATTGAGCATGTATGCAACCAAATTTTTTTCTGAGACTTTAGAATCTATATGTTCAAGACGATCAATGATAGACTTGATCCAGTTACAATATTCAGTGACAGTGACAGTGGAGTTACCAATGGAGATATTACGAAGTTCACGGTCCAACCGAATGGTCTTTGAGGATTTGTTATCTCGAAAAACTTATTCTAGGCTAATCCACACATCATAAGTCGTTTCTTGCTTCTTGAAGGTCATATGAAGAAGAAGGATAGAAAGTGTACCATACATCCAAGATCTAACGATAAAAACTCTATGAGTCCATGTAGTTTTGGTGGCCACTAATTCCGTTGTTGCTTTCTCTTTCTCTTTATTAGACTACTCATCAATGTCTTCAGGAGGAGGCTACTGATGGTGATCAACACCATAATCAATACAATGTATTTCAAATAATTATACCAGATTTCAAAGTTCATCCGGTTGAGATCAAGCACAAGTGGAACTACATGCTTAATGCATGCTTAATGTTGATGGTTGCAGAAGGTTTATCAGATAGAGCCAGAGTACATGATGATTGATAGAAGCAGAAGAAGAGAGAAAAGGTATAGAGATCAGGCGGCGGTAGGAAAGTCATCGGCTAGGGTTTGCAAGAATCTATTGAGATGAATAATTGCTTTGATACCATGAAATTACCAATATTTCCCATAACATGATCTCTCATTAATTTGAAGTTTATATACAAAGAATAAATGAACATGGGTCAATACAATGGAGCCGTATAATAATAATAATAATAATAATAATAATAATAATAATAACAACAATAATAACAATAACAACAACAAAAATAATAATAATGATAACAACAACAATATACTAATTAAAAAAAAAAAGAAAAAAAAAGAAAAAAAAAACATACATTTGTAAAAACTTCAACAATATAAGTATTTTTGCGCAACTAACGGGCATTCGCCTAATAATAATAATAATGACATGCTATCACTAAGAATGAAGGGGGTATGAGAATATTCACATCATCATGAAGAGAACAACAATAATAACAATAACAACAACAAAAATAATATAAGTATTTTTGCGCAACTAACGGGCATTCGCCTAATAATAATAATAATGACATGCTATCACTAAGAAGGGGGTATTAGAATATTCACATCATCATGAAGAGAAGATTTGAAAATCATGAATTAAAAGGACATTAATATAAATAGAATTTAGCTCTAGTATTTACTTCACATTAATAGAGTCTTCGCCTTTGTTGAATTCCTGCATAAAGTTAATAAATATAGCTAATAAAGTGGAAAATATAGGTTGCGGGCTTTTGACAATAGCAAAAAAACTTACATGAAACTTTTCAAATGTAGTTTAAGAATTATTAAAGGAAGAAAGATCTACTTTACCTCTTGTTGATCCTTATAAAGGAGTTGATGTTTTCCCCTGCATAAAACGAACCGAAACTTATTTCAATTTCTTTTAGCTGTGGAGCAGTTGAATTTCCCTTGGTGAACGTCGTTATTTCAGAGCATCCCTTGATTATCAAAGTATCCAATAATGGGAATGAAAATTCCTCGTTCCCCAAGCTAAACCCCTTAAGACATGGAAGCCTTTCAAGTTTTAAGGACGTTAGACAAGGTAACACAAGCATCTCATTCCTCTTGCCATCAGATTCTTCTTCGGCTTCTACAGCAACATCTACATCCTTAACAATGACCTCCTCCATCCGACTGCAGTTGAATATACTTAGCTCTTGGAGTTGCAATAGACTACTAACCATGGAACTGGTAAATACATGTTCTAAACTGTTGCACCAACTTATATCAACTCTTGTTAGGCTTGGAAACTCAAATATTGTCCACTGATTGCTCTTCCATATATTGGTGAGATGAAATAAATACTTTAACTCCAGTTGCGTTAGGTTTGGAAGATTAACAAGGATAGTAGTTTGTGATGATTCATCAAAACCACGTCCATCTCCACTACTACTATTTCTATTTATCCTTGATCCTTCCAATGCTGTTTCAAATATCTCATCTACCATCTCACAATTACTCACACAGATTTTTTCCAGCTTTTGCAGCTGCAGCAACTCACTGGATGGAATAATCTTTTTAATATCCTTATTAAAATGTACATCTAATTCGATCAAGTTATAAAAAGACCAAATTGTTCCTTCTGAAGTAGCAGGGTACGACCGTGTAAACTCGGGAATAGGGTCTGCAACTCCAATATAGAAAACGCCAGATGCATATATATGTCAAACAAAAACATTTGAAATTTCATATGTCGTAATTTTAACGAAATTCAAGATATTATAATATTTAGTCAGAATGAAACGTTACCTCCAACTAAAAGTTATTCAACTTACTACTCCAAGTGACAACATAAAGTTAGAGTGAAACTAGTGTGCATGATCATGATATCTTAAGTAGATGTTTGCCAAAGAAATAATACCTGATGATTCGCAACATGAAAGTTAAGGCCACATTCTCCAAGAGTATGTATGCCTAAATTTATGTGTATATACTTGAGCTGGGGGTGTTGTGGACCCACCACGTGCGAACACCATCATTTGTTGGCAACCCTTGATTTTAACCTTATCCAATGAAGGCCACCGAAACTCATTCATCCCCAAGAAGAAACCCACCAGCTCTGGTAGATCTTCTAGTTCAATGGACTTGAGACGAGGAAAGACCACAGCCTCCTTAGAAGATGCATCTTCTTCCTTCTTCACAATCACTTTAATTGATCTGCATTTCCGTATTGTTAATTCTTGGAGTTGTCTCAGGCTTTCAAGTGCAGAGAATGTGAATATATGTTCCAAACGGCCACACCATTCAATATTCAGTATCTTTAGATTGGGAAGCATAACAACGTTATTTACTCTTGGAATTTCTTCATCACAACCACTCTTGTTGTTGCTACTCATCCCTTGAGTTTCCAATACCTCCTTCATCCCATTGCAAAACGTTATTTTCAGCACTTGAAGCTTTTGCATTAGTCCTACTGCATAATATGGAATCACACTTGACAATGCATCACATCCATATACACTTATCTCGTTAGAGTATTGGCATAGGCTCCAAGAAACACCACCTGCTTCAATAAACTGCAACACATGGAAAATTGATGTGAATTTAAACTATGGACACAACTTTTGTATAAGAATTTTAATTCAAAATCTAGTTTTTTATACTAGATGATGCGATGGCTCTCCACATAAAAAAAATTTAGGTTTGTTTTTGTTTCTTTTTTTAAATGATTAATGTCAGAATTTATTTAAGAGACAATAACATACATACCTACTTTACAACCAAAGGTATAGGAATGAAAATTCAATGAAATAAAAAAAATAAAAAAAAAATGAAAAAAAGGGCATAATTTTAAGTCAACAATCTTAGAGAATTTGTTTTGGTTAATATTATAAATTCTTGAATTCTACCTGTGAGGTGTCATCTAAAAGTAAGTTACATTTAACTAAATACACACTACCTTTGTTGCTTCTTACTCTTTAGATAAGAGCACATATCTTGGTTTTTATTTCTAGGAAAATTTGCTTCACTTGTTATGCATATATGACAGAGCTAAGTTTCGGACTAGCACTTAGATCATACATCATTACTGTAGTTTACAACTGTTTAACAAGTTATGTTACATGCATGACCCCCAAATTTTAATGACTAACCTTTAGTCGTAGGAGCTGTAACCATTAAATTGGCAATAGCATGATAAATGATATTTCATAATGTGAGGAATTGGTCTTAATGTGACAAAATATTTGGTTCGATTCTTGTCATTGTTGGAGAACACCGGTAGTAAAATTGCCACAAGAAGATTTTAGAGAATGTATTCGGCATCAGGTAAGAACTATTAGCCGATCATATCTTAGGAAGATACTTATATATCTTGTAATTATCTTTTATATAATTCCGTATTATATACCCCCCATATGTGGGAATATCCGATTGTATCTTATTCCCTATATATATTAGGGAAAATGATTTAAAAGCCCAACAAAGTTTGCAAATCATTCAAAAAATCTCAATCATTTTTTTCTATTTAAAAAACCCAACGAACTTAACTTTTTGTATAAAAAGTCCAACAAAGTTCCAAACCATTTAAAAAATCTCAATTTTATTTTGTTTAAGTTCATTGCGGTTTTTTTTTTAACAGTCAAAATATGATTGGAGTTTTTTAAACGTTTTGGAAACTTTGTTGGTATAACAAGTCATTTTCTCAATACGGTAATAAGCCACGTCATCTATTTCTCTTATTTGACTTTCAGGAAAATGTAACTTAATTGGGCTTTTTAGACAAAATGTTAAGTTCGTTTAGTTTTTTTGGACAGACAAAACATGATTGAGGTCTTTTGAACAGTTTGAAAACTTCGTTGGGCTTGTAAATCATTTTCACTATATATTACTTATATATATCTTGTAATTATCTTTTATATAATTCCATATTATATACCCCCCATATGTGGGAATATCCAATTGTATCTGATTCCCTATATATAGGGTTTTATTCATTAATGTAGGATATAAATTCAAGATCTATAATCATTGTTATGGTATTAGATCCTACCTAAACCCTAACAACCTATTTTTTTCTAAGAACAAAGCAACGGTTTTTCTTCAATCTTCATCCCTTCCATGACAAAAGATGCTTTTGGTTCAGATGAGGTGAAGGCCATGGCCTTGCACCCAACCGACAATATAAGTCTATCACAAACATCCAGACAAAGATCCGAACATTAATGGATCAAAAGTCACTTAATCGTCATGGATAAAATTGTTTCATCGTCATGCCAAGGCTTATAAGGTTCTCGATCACATTAATGACAAGCATGCACCGGTTGAAACCCATCCTGGGTACCTCGAATGGCATAAAATCGACACACTGGTTCTTCACTGGATATACAACACCTTATCTGACGAACTGATGGTCCACATCTTAAAGATTGATACCACTGCCCAAGCCGCTCGGAATAAACTCAAGTCAAGTTTTCTCAACAACGAAGGGTCACATGCAGTAGCCTTTGAACAGGAGTTCACCGGTCTTACCTTAGGAGCATGTTCATCAATGAAATTTTATTGCCAAAAACTTAAAAATCTTGCTGATCATCTTGGAGATGTCGAGAACCCAGTTACTGAGTCTAGACTGGTCTTACAAATGGTTTGTGTGTTACAAAGAGAGTTTGATGTTGTCGGGGCCTACATCAATCAAAGCTCTCCGTCATTTGAAACAGATTGTAGCATGTTACAACTGGAACAACACAGACAAATAGCTAAACAAACTCAAACCCACATGGTTCTCATTGCCCCCACTTGAGTGCAGGAGAGGCTCTACTGGTCGAGAAAGTGGTAGAAGCTTCAGGGGACGTGGAGGTTGTGGCCAGCAAAACTGGAACCAAGGAAATCAATGGTAGCAAGGATGGAATGGATCGTAATCATGGTATCCACCGCCATCACCATACCCTTCTCATGGACCGAATCCATCCACAAATCACTAGGATAATCACACCTACAAGCCCCGGTCAATATTCTGGACCCACGACACAATAGGGGGCCAAATAGACCTCCTCTAATGCAACCATTAGGTCCGATGCCTACTCTTACTCCTCAATTTGCTGGTTATTCTACCTATTGTCTGTCAGATTTAGCTCAGACTATGTAGCAAGTTCATCTTTATACCAATGATCTGGCATGGTATATGGACTCCGGTGCCTCAACACATCATACATCTCATCAGGGTAAAATCACAAGTTCCATAACTACTTCACCTATAACATCGATTTTTGTTGGAAATGGCTCTAGTCTACCTATTCATGGGTTTGGTCATGCTTCTTACAATACCCCCTCTCATTCATATACTTTAAAAAAATATCTTAGTTACTCCATCTATTATTAAAAATCTTTTATTTGTTCGTAAGTTTACTATCGATAATCAAGCTTCTGTTTAATTTGACCCATCTGGTTTTTCTATAAAGGGAGCTCTTCTTTCTCGTCATGATAACACGGGAGATCTTTACTTTTCACAGCATCTTCCAGTTCTACTGCTCTGCTTGCCACCTCTCACGATCGTTGGCATGCTCACTTGGGTCACCAAGGCGATCCTATTTTAGATTTACTTCGTTCAAAATTTTCAGTTTCTTGTAATAAACCTACAACTTCTTCTTTGTGCAATGCTTGCCAACTATCTAAACATACCCGCTTACCTTTTTATGGTTCGCAATTTGTTTCTTATGCACCATTTGACATTATACATTGTGATCTTTGGACATCCCCAGTCTTAAGCAAATCTGGTTAAAAATACTATATGGTCCTTATTGATAATTTCACTCATTATGTATGGGTATACCCCTTAAATATAAATCCGACACATTTCTCACTTTTACAAAATTTTACAAGCTTATCCATACGCAATTTAACCGGACCATTAAGTCATTCCAATGCGATCTCAGGGGAGAATTCGACAATAATGACTTTAAATCCTTTGCCCAAACTCATGGTCTCGTCTTTTGTTTCTCTTTCCCTCAAAATTTCCAACAAAATGGACGAGCCGAATGGATGATTCGTTGCATTAATGACATTATCCGTACCCTTCTCACTCATGCCTCTCTTCCCCACTCATTTTGGGTGAAAGCTCTTCACACCACCGCCTACCTTCATAATATCCTTCCTACTAAACGCCTAAATTTTTCCACACCTGCCTTTTCTCTCTATGGTCGCCAACCCTCATATGATCACACGGGTGCACTTGCTATCCTAATACCTCTTCTACTCAATCTCATAAACTCCAACCAAGATCCATCATATGTGTTTTCCTTAGTGATCCGGAAAACTTTAAGGGATATCAAAGCTTTGATCCATCAACCGGCAAAGTCTATATGTCTCGTCATGTTACTTTTGATGAAACCTCTTTTCCCTTTGCCAATACTCATCCCCCTCCACATCTTTTGACTTTCTTGATGACCCCCTTCATTTTTTTCCCTACTCCACATCCACCAACCATACTCCACCTTCAACACTACCTCACTCCACTGCCCTTCCAACATCACCTCACTCTACCTCTTCATCTCCTCACCCTCCTATCTTGACCTATTCTCGCCGGTCAAAAGCCCCATCCACCAGCACCACCATCAACCCTTTATCAATGCACATACCTCCCTCCCACACTCCACCTTCACCTACAACAACCCATCCCGAATCCACTCCACCTCAAACTCCCCCCCCCCCCTCCAACCCCTCCCTTCCTACTCATCCAATGACCAGATTTGCACAGGCAGGAGTAACCAAACATATTACCTCTCTAAACCTCCATACCACTTTTACTCCACATATCTCTCCAATTCCTAAATCTATCTCTACCGCCATGACTGACCTTAACTGGTTACGAGCCATGGACGATGAATTTTGAGCTTTACAGGTGAACAAAAAAAAGGATCTCGTTCCCCGAACGACCGATAGCCCAGTTATACAGTGTATGTGGTTGTTTCGTCACAAAATTAAAGTAGATGGAACACTTGACCATTATAAAGCACGATGGGTGTACAATGGGAAATCACACATAGTAGGTGTTGACTATTTTTAAAACATTCAGTCCTGTTGTGAAGCCAACTACTATACACACAATTCTCAATCCTGCAGTCTCACAGGGTTAGCCGATATTCCAGTTAGACGTCAAGAACACATTTCTTCATGACGATCTCCACGAGATGGTTTTTATGAACCAACCCCACGACTTTAATGATAGTCGGTTTCCATTTCAGGCCTGCCATCTCCGAAAATATTTGTATGGACTTAAACACGATGTGTGTGCTTGGTACACTTAATTTGCTTCGTTCGTTACTTATCAGGGTTTTAGTAGTAACATTTGTGATTATTCGTTATTTGTTTATCAACACGGTTGTCATCGTTCTTGTTTACTCCTACACGTCGATGACATAATCTTGAAAGCTTCTGAACCTGACGTTCTCCGCAACATTATCACTTTTTTGTCTTAGGAATTTTCTATGATTGATCTTGGGGTGCTTCACCATTTTCTGGGTATCACGGCTACTCGTGATAAGCATGGGTTATTTTTTTCACAGGCTTCTTACACTCGTGACATCCTTCAATGACCTAGTATGGCCTCATGTAAGCCGTGCACTGCACCAGTGGAATACGTCCACCAAACTCAGTGTCACTGATGGTGCACTACTCGTAAATGGTGCTCTCCAATACCTGACTTTTACACACCCTGACATTGCCTATGTTGTCCAACAAGTTTGTTTATTCATGCATGCTCCATGCAAGCCCATTTTTAGTTCATGAAGAAGATTTTTCGGTATCTACAAGGTACCATAGACTATGGTCTTCAACTGGTTGCATTTTCCTCTAACACACTTACTGCCTACTATGATGCTATGATGATGATTGGGGCGATTGTCCTGACTCGCGTCTATCCACTTCTAACTATTGTGTTTTTCTTGGCAAAAACCTTATGTCTTGGTCCTCAAAGCGCCAAAACTATTTATAGTGTTATCGAAAGACTCAAAATGTATAATGTGACTTCAACATCAAACTACAACCTTAATGTGCACACTGAAATAAACATATATATCGAAGGTGCATAACCTACGATGTAAAGCACAACTCTTCTGCCATTTATTAGAAGTTGTGACTTCTACATGATCTTTATATAGATGGTGTGCCTTCAATGTGAAGTTGCACCTTCTACATGACCTTCTACACAACCTTCTATGTGATCTTCTACCTTCTCCACCATAAATATCATATCATCATATTCAATATTTCTTTACTCAAGAAGAAGGAAAAAGGTCCCAAATTGGCCATAGTGAATTCAGACGATACACGAGATATAATGTGACTAATAAGAGTCGAGGAAGAAGTAGTGAGGATGATAGCATCATCATAAAGGAGAAAGAAGATATGCTCAAAACCCGAGTGATAAGTACCGAGAAAATATTCAGATCGACTGGTGGTGATGCCTAGAGAGGTCCTGAAAATAGGAAATCGTTGATACCACTCCCTAGGGAGTTGGTTGAGACCATAGAGGGATTTACGAAGGCGACAAACATGATGAGGAAAGGTGGTGTGTGTGTGTGTATATATATATATATATATATATATATATATATATATATACACCCATGAGGTTGTTTCATGTAGACCTCTTCATAGAGGTCATCATGAAGAAAGGCATTTTTAACATCTAGGGATGATGTATCGGCCAGTGTTTGGATATCACAATGCTCAAGACAGTACGAATGGTGGCGAGTCTGACAACAGGATTGAAAGTGTCATCAAAGTCAAGGTCAGGTAGTTGAGAGAATCCCTGAGGGGCCAAATGACCTTTATAGCAATCAAAATTTTCTTTGATGTCATACTTATGAATATAGAGCCAGCAACAGATAACAATGTTAGCTTACGAGGGAGGATGAACAAGATCTCATGTGTGGTTTGAATGAAGTTTAGCCATTTCAAAATCCATGGAAGATTTCCAGTTGGGGTAACATAGGGCTTCAGCAGTAAAGAGAGGAATAGGAGATATATTGGAAGTGGCAGATAAATTGAAAATATGTTTAGACCTGAGGGACACGGGACATGAGCGAGTGACCATGGGATGAGTTGGAGGAGGGGGAAGGGAGTAGTATGATTTTGAGAGCTACTATTAGGAGATGTTGGGGGAGACGAATTACTAGGAGTATTTTGGTTAGGGGGTTGAGTGAAAATGACCATAGGAGTTAGAGGAGGCACATTTCAAATTGAAAAGAATCATAATCACTAGTGGATAGTTTGTCATAAAAGTCAGAGTACGAGGAATGCTCTTCGTCAAAGATGACATGATGAGAGATAATGACACGTTGTGAAACGAGATCAAGACAACGATAGTCATGATGATCAATTGAGGGAACAAGGTAAATACAAGTAGATGACCAGGGAGAAAGCTTGTGAGAGGCAATAGGGGAAAGATCACAGACACCCAAAGGCATGAAGATGATCGTAGGAGGGAAAATGATCGAAGAGTAGCTCCAATGGGGTTTTAAACGAAAGTATGGGGTTGGGGTGAAAGGCAACTGTTGAGTAGATGCAAAGGGTGCCATACTTGGATGGAGCTGCTTATTCTTATGAGGCTGCTAGTACAAAGTCGGATGGCCAACATGTTTGTTTCCGAAGGCAGCAAGTGTCTGTTGTGAGGGTGTGTTGCCCAAAATTCTAGCGAAATTCTGTTGCGGTTCCATATAATTCCCATGAGAATTATTTTTTTTGATGTCTGTTTAGAATTGTTCTTGTTTTGGTTCCATTGGTATCTTGCAATTGTAACATACAAGACATGTGAAAAAATTCATCTAACTTGTACCAAAGATCTTTGGTGGTAAATTCATCACTAGAGATGATTTGAAGCAACTCGAGATCAAATGTGTTATGAAACCAAGATTTAACCTGTGCATATATAGAATTCCATTCATTATCATCATCCCCGGTAGGAACCAATTTACCAGAAATATGGCCATAAGACAAAGTTCCTCTATACATATTAGAGAAAATTTTGTGCTATAGTTTATACTTTGACCCATCAACATTCAATTTAAAACTAAATTGATTGTAGACATTAGTGATTGTGGATAAAAGACTTAAATGTGATGGGGTAGTGGTAGAGGAGGAAGTCGGGATCAACAAGGAAAGTTGGAACAGCGCGGCAATGGATGCCCGATAGGAGATAGTAGAACTCGGCTGGAGATGGCATTCGAGTCGATGGCTGGGAGTTGACCGGAAAGAAACAGCAGCAGCAATGCATCCTAGTAGGGTGCAGGAAGCAAGATCAAATGAGGCAGGATGCTTAGGAGAACCTAAGAAACATGTTGGCGACTAAAAACAATTGATGCGTACGTGATGGGTGTTTTCGGTGAATAACCCTAGCTCGATACCATGTCAATTAGGGTAAAAGCCTCTCCAATGAGAGGCTATGTATGCAGTATATTTATACATATAAATATTACATTGGGGTCCCTACACTATACAATATACATAGAAAACAATATATACTATAAACTAACACACATGTTTATACTTTATAACTAGAAAAAAAATAGAAAAGAAATCTTACTAGTAAATGATTTGAATTATGTTAAGTAACAAATACACAGTAATACCTGTTTAAACGAAGGGAACATTTTATTCCTCCAAATCACATTCTTGAGTTTGCATGGTAGTTAATGGGTGTGCAATAAAGGTTTAGATCTTTTATACGTGATTTGGTGATTTTTGTAGAATATTGCAAATAAAAAATGGATATTTATAAAGACATGAAATAAGTAATTTATTATGCACAAAACATACCTTAAATTGATCAACAAAAGCGCTAGTTGTGGTGGTATTGTTGAAAGACATTTCGTTGTTCCCATCCTTGGCACCACCTCCACCAATACACCTCAGATTTTTCAGGAAACTTAGAGTGAGAGAATGAAGATGAGGGAACAAAATGGTGCTTGTGGGAGTAGATGTAGATGTAAATGTCGTCAATTCTGCATCCTCATCATCTCTGTTTGAAACGACTTCTTCAATACCATAACATTGTTCTATCTTGACTTTCTTCAGGTTGGAAAGAAGTTCTGCCATGAGAGGCGAAAACAAGTACTTAATGCTTCTGCAACGATAAATACATATGGTTGTGAGGTTGCGGAATGGGGATTCAGGTTGTTGTTTTTGAAGAATGGAGAATCTATTCCAGTTGTTGCACTTCCACACATGGCTCATGTTGTCCATTTGATTTAGATTCAAATCCTCGAGGTTGGGAAGTAGTGGTTGTTGATTATCGTGAGTTGTTACCAATTCTCTACTTGTTGGACTCTCTATCTCAAACACCACCTCCACTCCTTCATACTTGTTCAAGTAAAGATTATGGAGGTTATGAAAAGAGTGTATGACGGATGATGGTAATACAACATTAGAAATACTGCCAAATGTTTCTTCCCTTAACAGAATATTAGTCTGCACACATATATCCAACAAGAAATGTAACTTGAGTACTGAATAGCATTAGTGATTTATAATTGCACATCCGTTCACAATTCCCTCTTATAATTTTGGATTTTAAACTGATTATTTTGGTTTTGGGTAAATTTTCAAGCAATATATCCATATGATGGAAAATGTAGTTGGATCTATCACCTTAAGGTAAATTATTTAAAGATGTTTTAGGCTCCTTTGAAACAATCAAATATATTTTAATTAAGGTGATATTTATTTTCAAACAAGAGACAGTTTAGCTTGACATTAAGTTAATAAGCAACAGTATTTAATTAAAGGGTTAAGTAAGTCCCTATGCTTTAAGTATCGTCCTTTTTGACTGGTTAAAAATAATAAGCTGTGGCTAGCTTATACCCCTTATTAAATTAAAAAAAGATTATGAATGGGTTCAATCATGGGCATCACCATTAAAAAAAATAAAAAAAAAAATAGAGTAAACTGCATAAATGGTCCTTGTGATTAGCATTTCTAGGGTTCTTGCCCTGAAAGATGAAAATTGTTTAAAAAAATTAAAAATAAAAATAAATTAAAATAACATCCTTATGAAATTGCTTCATTATGGTTATGGTATGCAAGACTTTCACCATTAAGAGAGCATGGTTAAATACGTATAAAAAGACCATATACATACGTATAAAAAGACCATTTTACCCGTGTTATATTAAACCATTTTATCCCTTATGCAAGAGTTGGTGGTGATATTTGGTCCAAATTAAGGTTTGGAAAAAGTTGAATTTATTAAACGTCGAGTCCTTTTACTTTAAATTATTTCGGGTTATGGGATTTTTTTTTAACCAAATATATTTTTATTAGAAAATGTCATTTTTAGTTGATAATTTATTAAATTTGTTAGTTTTACTAAAAGTAATAAGTGTCATTTATAATGATTTATTAACTAAAGTGGTGTGACGAAAAAGTAGTCACACTTATACATGATCTCTAATGAAAAATCATGTTTTGTAGTCATTTTATAAATAAAAATATGTTAGTCACATCTATACATGACTTGTATTGAAACATTAAGTCAACAAATGGTTTGTCACTTAATGGTTAATAAAGTTTCCTTCCAATTGTGATGTCAAAGTTTAGTCATCCCACCCCTTTTTTATTCAAAAGGCAGGAGTTTAATCCTTTGTTAAGTAAGAGAGTGAAATTGAAATCCATACCTGTTCTTTCTCTTGGCTACTCTCTTTCGATTCGTCATTTCCCCTATTTGCTCCGCATTCATATATCAAAATATTCGAAAGTGCCCGCAGATCAAAATTGGCGGTGGTAGGCGTGAATACATTTCTAAACCTCACACATCTCTTAATGCTTATGCTTTCAACAGCTTGAAAGCCACATATAAGGGACTGAGAGTTATTTGTACCTTTTATCCTCCACACTTCTCTTAGTTTCTTTACTTCCATCACTCCAATGCTTCTCAAGCTGCCACTGATGCAAACTTCTCCTCCAATTTCACCAACACAATCCAAGTCGATGTTGAATAACGACTCAATGGAACCACAATTCTCAACTTCAAGCTCTTCAAGATGATGCAACAGACACATGGGATTGTACGGAAATAGATTCACAAGTTTATCACAATTTCTCACTTCAATCTCTCTCAACTTAACTTCCTCACCTATGCTAAGTTGATGAGGCCATATTTCCTTTAAATTCTCCATATCGTCAATTTGAAGTGTCTCCAATTTAGGAATGACAATCTGAAAAATAATCACCCATTAATAGCTACATCCAAAAAATAATACATCATGCAATTAAATTACAGATGTATTCTGAAATTTTTAGTTGAAAAGATTGTTTAACTTGTATTAACATAGAACATATATATCAACCTCGTCCTTCAGCAAACTAGATGTTTCCATCTTGTTCTGCGTGTAAATGCATGTGAAACGTGGAATGCCCTTAAGTTTCAACTCTACGAGTTGTGGTAGCTTGATAATGTTGACGTTATTGCACAAACCTAATAGTTTCGGTAGTCCACCCAAAGATAAAAACTTCAGCTTGGGGAATAAAATTGTATCTTTTCCACTACCGTCAGTCCCATTATTTATTAATTCTTCCATACTGTCACATTCGTAAACTTCCATATGCTCAAGATTTGACAAAGTGTTTGCAACACAAAGTTTGAAAAGGTATGTTAACATTCCACACTGAGATACAATAAGGACTCTTAAATTGCAGAATGAAGAGGATTGACGAGGATGTGTCGACTTCACCTCAACATCTTCCAATTCATTCATACAATCCACGCTTAAACAAAGCACCTCTGTTTTCACAAACAACTCATTAAGTTTAGAGTCCAATATTTCACATTTGTTGGTCACCAACTGCAACGTGTTTTCATACGAGTGGCTACTCTTACTAATATTTCCATCTAAGGAGCGCCCCACTGAGATCTTGAATTGTTCAAGATTCTCAAATGACATATTCTTCACTTGAGCATTGTTATTAAAGAACTCAAATTCTAGCGCATAAAGGTTGTTTGAACGCTCCGCCATCTCATTGCAATTATCATCTCTAAACCCATATGCATTTCCAATATAAAGTTCTTCAAGTTCGACTAATTTTTTCAAGACACCTTGTTCTATACGAAGACCATTACAATCTCTCAGATCGAGTAGCCTTAGCTTCTTTAAATTTCCGATTGTGGAAGGTAACCATTCAATGCAAGATTTAGCAAAGCTAAGCACTTCCAGATTCAACATATTTCCAATAGAAGAGCAATCAAACATCTTTAATGAACATTGATGGAGGTGAAGCACTCGAAGGTTGATGGAGCATTGAGGTAACGAGGGAAGCAATGGATACTTCATTTCATCGTATGATATAACTTGGAGCTTTTCCATTCCTTTATAAAAGTCGTGAGGAAACCTTAATGACTTATCTCCATGCATAAGTTTCAAAACCGTTAGGTTTGGAAACTTGAGGTCTCCTGGAAACTCAAAGATACTATCGCATGTTAACGAAATTGTTTTGCAAGAGTTGTTCATATTATTTTTAGGCCACCCAGACATATTACCATGGTTGACAATTGAAGCATGCTCGGCTTTACAATACATATCCAAAACAAAAGCACGCACTAGATCGTGCATCTTGACACACCCAACAAAATTGCTTTCGATCAACAAATTTGAATCCATGAGTCGGTCAATACAAGCATTCAACCTTGTTCTTGCCCTTCTTATGGTATACATTTTTTTAAATAAGTTTAAGCCCCATCCGTACCTCATCAACTCCTCAGTATGAATATCAAAGTCTTCGGGGAACAAACCACAAAGAAGAAAAATGGATTTGGTCTCCTCATCTTGGAGATTGCGATAGCTCATCTCAAAAACTTCATTCACAACATTTTCAATGTCATGTTCCTCTAAACGGGCAAGTGCATCCTTCCATGAATCCTTGCTTTTATTTCTAAGAGTAAGGGCTATGGTTTTGATGGAAATGGGTAAACCACAACACTTCCTTGCTATATCTACCTCAATCTGATGGAGCTCACGGTCAGCAATTTCTACGAACTGGAGAAACAAATTTTGTGCTTCTACTTCTTCTAAGACTTTTACATTGAGAATTGAATTAGCTTCAACTCCCATCATATTGCAAATATCTCTCTTTCGTGATGTAAGCAAGACCTTGAAGTTGACACCTTCATTTAGAAGAGGAGTACTTAAACCAATATCTTCCAGATCAACGAATTCCCAAACATCGTCGAGTATTACGAGGAACTTATTCTTACCTCCATCAGAGTTGTCCTTGAACCATTGACGAAGTTTATCCGCTCTTGCCGGTTTAGTGCTTTCATTTAGCTCTATACAGAGGTAATCTGCTATAGCTTTCTGAATAGCAATAGGGTTTGTATTCTCCCCTATAACAGCCATAACAACATAATTAAACATTTTCTTTTTTTCCACAAAATTTTTTATCTTTTTCATCATCGTGGTCTTCCCTACTCCACCCATCCCACATAAGGCTATCATGTGACCTTTGTGGTTCGGTCCAAGTGCTTTCAGTGCTTCTACAAAAGTCACCTCTCTTGATTGAAATTCATCGTGTTCAATTGAAGGTGTGGAGGTGGATGCCTGCATGGACTCTACTCTTCCCAGAGGAATGGGATGATCAGTCCAAGTGATTAGAGAGAGCCGTCTCATGACACTGTCAATCTCCTCACTTATCTCAAAGGCATTCCTTCCGGCCTTGAGCCTAATCTTTAGATTGACGCAACCACCAACTTCACGAGGAACATTTTCCCCTTTCCTATTGATTTTTTCTACATCATCTAACCAACCTGAGACTTGGGCTGGAACCTCAAGATGGCTACTAGTGTTCCGTGTCATGTGCTCTTTGATACCAACACTTGCTTCGTTTAACTCCCTTAATTTGATAGTCATGTCCCTCACATATTGCGTGCTGGAAATGATGTAGCGCAAATAATTGTTAACGGGAATCATCAGAATCGGAACAACTTGTTTCAAAATTTCATTAGCTGCTTCCATTTTTAATATGCTCACTTGTGGTAGCACCTACATAGTATGTAGCCAATAATTGATCAGAAAGAATTCAGTGAAAATTAATAATGGATGGAGCAATTGGCCTAGCAGTATCATGTGTGTTAAAAAGGTGTTCCTCCCCAAGTGGTTGAGGATTCAAGTCCCATGGTGGACAAATGATGTAGATTTAGAAGTAGGATTAGATGGGTGTGTGGGTTAGCAGTTAAAAAAAAGAATGAAGTTGTAATAACTTTGGCCGATAGACAGATGATGTAATCCATAAAAAATTCATCTAATATTTTAAATGAAAATAAACATTAGGAAATGATTGTTCATAGGCTAATTGTGAAAATGTAATTAAAGATGAATTAATATTAATGTTGTGGTTATTACATTATTAAACATCATTGTGATATGCAACCACATCTGAGTGTTTGTTAATAGACCTAACTTTTTGCTAAGAAATATCTGATTAATTAATCAATATAAAAATGAAAGAATATGGAAGAATGTAAGTTGAGATTTTTAAAGAAGTTTTTGGTAACTATCCTTCGGGTGTTAGTGTAATAAGAGAATACCAATAAATTTTATTTCATCTTACCTTAAAACTTATCTACCTCTTCTAATAAAAGAGTCTAGATTTGTTCATGTGTCATTTTCTTATAATTTTTAGTTTTTTTTCTTATACTCTCTAAAAATGACACGTGTAATTTTGAAGGACTTTTTATTTTTAAATTCAAAACCAAATATGACTTTTAAAATGCATGTAATCCGGATTACCAAATAACTCAAATTGGAATTACCATCTAAATCAAAATTGTAACGTCCGTAGATTCGGGCTAGTCAATTTAGAGATAATATGGGTTGAAAATAACTTTTCAACAAAATATTATTTAGAATAAATAATCTTAACCAAGTTGTAAAATATGTCACAAGGTTTCCATACATATAAAGAGCGTCGAAATCCGAGTTATAATGAAGAAGTTATGACCCGTCGAAGTTTCGTGACGGAACCGACACGACACCGAGAAGCGTAAATAGTGATTTTACGATGGAGGACTTTTTAGCCTTAGTGATCTAAATGAAAGTCGTATAATATGTTAAACCGAGAAAATCCATAAAAAGAACTCCCAAATCTGACTTCGTATGAAGAAGTTATGATTTTTCTAAGATTCGGCTTAGCAGTGCACGACCCGAAACTCGAATTTTAGTTCGAGCAGTTTTTGGCTTACGTGACTTAAATGAGAGTTGAAAATCTCATTAATAGGAACTTAACATTAAAAAGACAGACGAAAACAGAGTCCGTATGAAGGAGTTACGAATTCTTCGCGGTCATTTAACAGTCTAAACGCCTCGTACTGTTAAATTTAAGATCGGTCGAGAATTAGTCGACGGAGTTAAAATGAAAGTTGTAGATATTATTTTTACCTACGCGTGGATATAAAGAACGTCAAAAACGTAGGTCGTATGTGAAAGTTACGGATTTTAGAAGTCGGAATTGTGCTATGCGAAAATGGGTGATGTGGCACAATCTTGGCCATTGCTTTCACCCCAAGTTTTGCCACTAGATAGTGACATGTGGCACCAAGTTCGGCCATTTTCACCCTGCAAATAGAACCTCTCCTACCCTCATTTTCTTCACACCTTTCTCATTCTTTCTTCTCTTTACTCTCTCTTTCTCTAGAACCTCTCTCTAGCCCCGAAACCCCTCGAAAAGCCTAGGGAACCTCCCTAGCACGAGGCGGAAGCCCCTGGGTTCTCGACGGCTCTGAGAAGAAGAGCTTTTCCGCACAGGAATGCTGCTCTAAGCAAAGCCTGGTTTTCTATAAAACCCGTTGTAAGTGAGCTACGCCTACACTGTTTTTAATATAGCTTTTATTTAATTATATTAACGTTATTAAGATCATATAATAAGTAATTGGGCTATTATTATGGGTTATATAAGTATTATTTAAAGGTTATATAATAGTAATAATAGTTAGACTATTAATTAGTATCAGTGAATAATAGACTAAACTTTAGTGGTAATAATACTAGGTTTCGTCGAAGGAAATTATTTTTTTTCAAGAAGTGAAGCGCTGTCTGAGTTCGGAATCACCACATTTTCAAGTGAGTGCGTAGTTACTTTCATCTTACACATAGATATGAAGTATTTTATCTAAATTACGTGCTATGGGTGCATATTAAATGATTTTATACATGTTTTAAATGATTTAAACTGTATATGTATTTTATATCTATGATAATGTTGGGGTAAACATGGGTAGATATAATAGATGGAATATGAGTTGAATGATGAGTTGAGAGGTGTTATAGACCACGAGGTGAGGGTGAGACGCGGACGATCTGAGAAGCCTTTTTCCCAAATGATGGCCCCGTCATTTAGCAGGGTATGGATGACAACCACGGACTATTCTAGACAGTCCAGTGGAACACTAGCAGGCTCGCAACCTGTAGGTGTTGTGAACGATGTGTTCACCCGGTGTACCCTAAACCTCGGTGATCATACAGACTTGATGCCTAAACCCTGGCGACTATGCAGACTTAGTGCCCGTTGTGTAAACCGTGGCAACGATGGACTTTGTGCCGATTCCTTAGGATGATCCTTAGGAATGAATGAACGATGAATAGTTGATTCTTAGGGTAGATCCTTAACATTAAAGAAGATAATGGGGATGGGTAATTGGGTTGATTGTTTGATTGTTTAAACATAATAATTATATTATTGTGGGTTGAAAACCCTATGTACTCACCAGGTTTCCCAATCTGACCCACTCAGTTTATTTATATCACAGGTGTTGATATGAAGTCACATTACACTGAGAGATTAAAGAGATGTAGATCACTAGTGTAAATAAATGTAAGTTCTGTTTATGCTTATGTTTATGTATTGACGATGACATCCCAAACGTTTTAAAATGAATAAAATACGTTTCTTCGAAAATATTTTGATAACGTATTTATCGTATTTTTCTGGGAACAAATTCCGCAACATTTTTATGAAAAGAGGTACTATGATTTTTATAAAGCATAAACAAAATCAGTCTTTTCTGATCGTGAAAATTGGAATGTCACAAAAATCCTAATCTCTGGTTAAGTGGGATTGACTATAGTCCCTAAAAACCAGTGGTTTGATATTTATTTACATGATTGTAATCCCTTAAATTTCATTTCAGAGCTACGATGATGAACGACGCCTCTCTTTAATCTCCTCCACATCGTTCTTCAATGGGAACTCGGTCAGAATATTATGGGAAAAATAGAGCTTACACGTACTTTGTCATAGGTTATATGTTCATTACATGTTAAATCTTTTTGCAATTGTTAATTATCTATGTTAATATTTTTTTCACGTGAATGTCATTAGTTTATTATTGATTTGGAAATCTGCTATGATCTGAAGCATAATTTCATCAAGTTCTAAGACGAAATGATATTTGTACAGTCTAACTAATCGGATATAAAGCCATTGTTTGATCTGATACTCTGACATGACAATCGATGTTTATGATTCAAGTAGATCTATCTATTTTTGCTTTCATTGACTGTAAGTCTTCTATGTAAAGCTTGGAAAGTTGCTTTGTAAATTTTGGTTCTTTGATGTAAAGTTGATTAAAGGCACAAATTAATTACGTTCACAAACTTACTTCCATCTATGTCATTATTTTTGTTTGTGCAGAGTACTTTTATATTGACTTGCAAGGGTCCTGCAAAGCAGGGTCATTAGGAAACGATTGAAGAAGATATGATCATCATTTGTAGCCAAAGCGAGTCATTGATATTCATGCATGATTTTTAGTTTGCGCTTAATTTACATGGTTTTTGCTCCATGCTAGGTCCCTTTTTGGTGGAAAAATTAGGAGGATTGTGAAGTCATAGTTACAACAAAATGTTCAATGCTTTGTTGACATCAAGGATTTCTTTGATGACCATTCATGTATTTTAAGCCATCTTTTATTTACATTGTAGATTAAACAAATTATTATGAAGTTAGTAAAATTGAAGACATTAAGTTAGAGTATGATTTTAATGTTTTAAATATTCATTCTTCTTGATTTGTTAACTAAGAAAGAAGGCAAGGTTGAATGGTAAATGCCATATCCCATACAAGTTTTGTTTTTAATTCAGTTAAAGTAGACACACGAGTAAAGCATGGAGATTGTACCAACATACTTCTAATGGAATTTGTCTAATATTATTTCAGGATTTTGTTAGGATAGATAACAACAATTGTGTAATGCAATTTTGAAATTATCTACCCTAACTTTTGTTAATTATATTACATATACATAAACCATTTGATTTGTAATCAATTTACATTCACCAATTAATTTGTAAACAATATTATTCAACACTCATCCTATGTATAGAGCCACTCTGTAGTAAACTGCACACTTTTTTGCAAGCATCACTTGATTTGTCAATATATATATATATATATATATATATATATATATATATATATATATATATATATATGGGTAAAGTGAATATACCTAACAACCTTATATAAGCTTAGGTACCTAACCTCATCAAAGTACGTCATTTTGCATTAAATTTTCATTGCAATCATCCAAGGTTCTTAAACTTCATCCCTAAACTTGATTTACTTTAAAAAAAATTGGAAATTCATCATTATATTTCTCCTGCATCCTTTCGTTTGTAGCGATAGGATATAAAGCCCATCAGGTGGTATTCGATAGAAAGACGTGATGTAAAAGAAAAATATTGGTGAAAGTCCAAATATTTTGGAAGCAATCAAGTTATGGGGTTGAAGTTTAAGAACCTTAGGCAATTACAATATAAATATCATACAAACCGATGTGGTATTATGGAGTTAGGTACCTAAGCTTATATAAGGTTGTTAGGTATATTCACTTTTCCATATATATATATATATATATATATATATATATATATATATATATATATATATATATATATATATATATATATATATATATATATATATAACACAATCCATCACTTGATTTGTCACAATAAAG